GCCTGGGTGACTCAGGTAGTTAAGAATCTGACTGCTGGTTTGGGTTCAAGTCATGATCTCAGGGCGGTGAGATTCAGCCCAATGTCGGGCTCAGCACTTAGTGTGGAGCCTGCTTAGGATTCTCTCTTCCTCTCTTTGCCTCTACCCTCAACCTGCTCACACTCTCTCAAAAAAAAAAAAAAAAAAAGAAGAAGAAGAAGAAGAAAGAAAATAGAAAGAGATAGTCTAAGAAAGGAAAAAGAGAAAATAAGAAAAATCAGATCAAATACTTGACAAACAATAATGTAAAGAAATGATACTCACTGTAAAATATACACACACTAAAACTTATTAAAAGATGGTAATTCCGGGCGCCTGCATGGCTCAGTGGGTTAAAGCCTCTGCCTTCAGCTCAGTCATGATCCCAGGGTCCTAGGATGGAGCTCCACATCAGGCTCTCTGCTCAGCAGGGAAACTGCTTCCCTTCCTCTCTCTCTGCCTGCCTCCCTGCCTACTTGTGAACTCTGTCTGTTAAATAGATAAATAAAATCTTAAAAAAAAAAAAAAAAAAAGATGGTAATTCCAAGACTCGGTTTTAAAAGAAAATGACAATTTCATGCTATTTGCAAAAGAGACTTGAAACATAATGACCAAAAAAAAAAAAAAAAAGTTGAAAGTAACAGGACAGAAAACCAAATACCAGGAATATAGTAACAAAAACCCAAGGTAATAACAGAACAAGATTAAAGAAAAAATAAATTAAGGAAACCAGATTAAAGGGGGTGAAATCATTATGAGGGATACAGAGGATCCTTATTTAGTGATTAAATGTGCTGGCAAGCTACAAAAACCCAAACCAGAATACATGGTTTTAACAAAAGAGTCTTAAAATACAAGCAAATACTGATTTAATTACAGCAGAAACCTTCAAAGCCACAATCATTGCAGGAGCATGGATTTAAGGGAGAAAAAAAGATTCCTCTATGCTTTTTTAGAGAAAACCTAACATAATGACATGAAAAGCTGAAAGAAATGAAAAAATATTTACTATATCCTAAAGAAACCTCATGGAGAAATTTCAGTATCCGAAAAGCAGATTTTAAGACAAATGGCTCAGAAGTTGACAAGATGATCCCATAATACCTACTATAATGTTGAAAAAGAAGACTAAGAAAGGACTGATCCTACCAGACCCCTGAATTATTTAAATTCCAGTCAGTTAACATCCAATGTAATACTAGTTTCAGGGGTAGAATTTCGTGATTTCACCACCCAGTGTTACTTCAACACCCAGTGTTACTTCAAGTTAGAAAAGGCTTTCTTGAATTTCTTAGGCACATATAAATCATAAAGGAAAAAATGGATAATTTTGACCACATTAAAAATAGACAACACAAAGTTAAAAGGTAAGCCAGACTAGAGAAGGTATTTACAGTAACAAAAGTTTAACTTTCTGAATATATGAAGAACTCCTGATGAAAGGACGAAAGATCCACTTAAAAAGGGTGGGGGGGGATAAACTGGTAACTCACAGAAGAGGAAACCTTCTTGGATAAAAAACAAATGAAAAGATGCTCATTGTCGCTATATGTTCAGTATTAAACAAACTGATTAAATGTTAGGATCAGGCATATCTAACCAACCTGAATGTTTGATAATGGTAACTGTTTGTGAAGGAGAGGGGAAACAGACCCACCATTGTTGATAGGGAGTAAACTGCTACAACTATTGTGGTAATTAATAACATTTAGTAAAGCTGAAGATGTTCCACTTCTAGGTATATACCCTAGAGATACTGTCAAATGTGTACACAAAGAAACATAAACAAGAATGTTTTTTGTAATACTAAAAAGGGGCACCTAGTTAGCTCAGTTTGTGGAGCATGCAACTCTTGATCTCAGGGTTGTGAGTTTGCCCCCATGTTGGGTACAGAGATTACTTGGAAATAAAATCTTAAAAAAATAAATAAAATAAAATAAAAAATCAAGACCATCCTCAATGGCCAAAAACAAGAGAAATGAATTAACTGTGGGATTAATCACACAACAGAATAGTAAACGTTATCAACCAGGTCTGCACATAAACTAGCTCTACACATATCTACATGTTAAATGTGAAAACTAAAATGCTGAGTGATAAACTTTAAAAGAATACATATCATGAAACGAATTATGTTTAGTTTAAAACACAGAGGATACTATACATTGCAAATCATGAAGGGTTAAAGATATGCATGAAAAAGATGATAGTTCTTGGAAGGAAATGACAAAAGGGAGATTTTCAACGGATAGGTAGCTTTTTATTTTAAAAGAAGGATCTGAAATAAATAAGGAAAAGGTTAACAATGGTTAAATTTGGGTAGTGACTATATGTCAACATTCTTGGCTGCAAACAGGATCTGCTCTTGCCAGTTTAAGCAAAAAACAAATGGCTCACAAATGGCCTCGGGCTTGGCAATCTGGTTATATAACTCCGAAACATGTCATTACAGCAGAGCAGCTGTAGGGGGAGAACTACTGAGCGTAGCTCACTGAACCCCTGCTGCCTTGAAAGCCACAAGTCACTGCTCCCCTAACAAAATGGATCCCATCAGCCACACTGTCTTCACGGTGTGGGATATATACAAGTATATCTAACTAGGGACCTCAGATGCCTGCCTGAGCCCCCAGATACAAGGAAATTTTGGAAATTTGTTTTACTCTTCTCCTTCTACTACTTCTTCTACTCTATGGAGATAAGATCCATAGAGTGGGAAGTTGTCAGAATGGATGTTCAAGCAGTGCTACGTATCCAAAAAAGTAGAATAAATATCTACTCAAACAGGGGTTAAATTATTTTGTTATTTTTCTGTATGGTCAAAATAGTTCATAATTTTTTAAAAATCGAAGTATAAATTCACCAAGGGGATGGGAGAGGAAAGCTGCAGCAGATGAGAAATTTCCAAAAGATGGGACTAATAGAACAGCAGAGGATGTCACCACTTAGAATGTGGAGAGCCTGTCAGAAGAGACAGACAACCTGCCCAGATGAGCCTAGAGAAGCTCTGGTGGTAGAAGACAGAAAACAGAAGAAGGGCTAAAAAGAAAGGAATTAAAAGTTTATATACAAACCAGCTGACCTTGACCCCACATCCCCTATCAACAAATACAGAAGGGCATGAACCCCAGTATTTCCCCCCAGGTAAACTAATGGAAGGATCTCATGAAATAAGTGGGAGCACTATCTGGGAAGAATGAGAGCAGTCAGTAAAGACATCTATGACCAAGACTGAAGAGCTCTTCATTCTAGCATTGAGAAAACCCTTATCATAACTGTCAGTGGTATAAGAAGTTTAATTAAAAAGATTAGGATATAAATGGAAAAAAAAAGAGGGGGGAGGGGAAATACAGGAGACCAATACAGAAGATCCAAAATCTAATAAAAGGTATTAGAGAAACAAAAGAAAAATATTTAGAAATAAAAACTTCCTAGAGCTCAAGAGATGTCAAAAAAAAAAAAATTAAAAATCTAGATACATACTTGTGATCTCTGTCTGTGAAATAAATAAATAAAATTTTTTTAAAAATCTAGATACAGACATAAATTTTACCACTTTATAACACCAAGAACATTAAGATCCAGTGTGCGTATGCATGTGGGTATATGGCAGGGTGAATGGTATGGAGGAATGCAGGGTTCCAGAGAAAAGCTTATATAAAAAGGAACAAAATCAGATAAGTATCAGATTTTCATTAGCAACATTGCCAGAAGATACTTGAGTAGCTTTCAAAGTCTTGACAGAAAATTATTTTTCAATCTACAATTCTCTACCAGCCAAACAGCTGATCAAACTTAAGTTTGCAAAACAAAGGTACTTTAGACATGCAAGGGCTTAACCTCTTAGATGCTTTTTCTCAAGATGTAACTTACTATGGACTCCAGCACAATGAAAAAGTTAATAAAGCAAAAGGAAGATACAGTCTCTAGGAAGAAGTAGATCGCACCCAGGAAAGAAAGAAATTCAGAAGAAACCCGTGCACTACACCCAGGAAGAAATTTTTTGGCAAAACAGTTTTAACAGACTGACAATCAAGACTTGCCCCAGTCACAGGAAAGCAGGAACTCTGTTATTGGGACTGTAATTTGGCAAAACCTTTGGGAGGCTAAGATCTGGTAGCATCTGCCAGTAACTCTATCAGAAATCTACTCCTACAAAATATTTATATGTGAGGCAGTGCAGAGGACGAGTGAAGTTACCTGGGTCTAAATTCTGGCTTTGCTATTGGCCAGTTCTATGGTCTGTTTCCTCATTTACAAAACTGAAACACTTTCTCAAACATTGTGAGGATTAAATAACAGATTCCATGTGAAAGGCTTAGCATCATGGCCAGTATATAGTGAATATTCAGTTAATTAGTAAATTCTCAGTTAACCTATCCACAAAACACTTGCACTTTTGTACAAGAATATTTATTGTGCCATTGTTTAAAATAGCAAAAATGGAAACTAGTATTATCTTTTATGCTTTTAAAAGATCCCATTTGTATTTATACATATATGTTTATACATGTAGAAAAAGGACTGAACAGAGAAAACATGTCAAAGTGTTCTATTTGGGGAGTCAGAGAGGACAGGGTTGTTTCTGCACAAAATTTTTACTGTGAACAGCATAAGTTGTTTTCACCTTTAAAGAAAGTAAAAAGTAAATAATAATAATAATAATAAAGGGAAAATAAACATCAGTATGTCTTAGGGAGAAAAAAGATAGTTAATTTTCTTTTTTTTTTAAGATTTATTTATTTATTTTAGAGGGAGTACTCAAGAAGGAGGAGGGGCAGAGCCAGAGTGAGATAAAGAATCCCAAGCAGACTTCACCCTGAGCACGGTGCCCATATGCTGAGCACTGAGCCTGACAGGGCTCTATCCCATGACCCCAAGATCATGACCTGAGCCAAAACCAAGAGTGGGACACCCAACCGAGCCACCCTGGTGTCCCAATAGTTAATCTTTATAAGCACACACAAATATTTCATATAAAACTTTTATTTTATTATACATATTTAAATTTTAAGAAGTTATTAGGTCAATGCACTTTCCTCTGTAGGTTTAGTTTGATCTTCAGTTACCTGTAAATACATGAATACTTTACTTTTCTAATAAATAACCACTTTTAGTTTTACCCTTCCCCCACCATTTTAAGTCATTCCACAGTCCTTTTTCTATAATAACCCTTGGTCTTTCTCCTTCATTAGTAATTATTATAGAAAGTTAAGCAGAAAAAGAAGAAAATGCACAAGGCCAGGTTCCCAATATAAATTATCATGTAAAGTACAACAATTTCATTAAAAATATAATCTGAAGCATATAGCTAGGCTTCTCCAGTCTGTCATTTTATTTTTCAATTACAAAATGAAATCACTCACGTAAGAAAAATACCAGCAATGCTGTAACACAGTATTTTAAATCAACGGATTTTCTTGGGAGGTATAATTATATTCTTAAATATGGTATATTACAGGCTTAGTAGAAGTAGGTATCTGTACATCCACATTTCTATTCTGTGTCACTCAAACACATCAAACAGCTAAACTTACTCCTCATTACCCCGACACTCACCCCACCTCCAGCATTATTTATCCCTGTGAAGGTCTCTACCCAGCTGCCCACACCTGCCATTCGAGAATCCACTGTTCTCGTACGTGCATATTCAACCAACAGTCCTACTAATTCTACCTGAGTGACTCTCACTGCCACACCTGAACTTCAGGACCTCACCACCTTCTATCCCTCGAGCAGGACTGCTAGTTTAAGCCACAGCTTTCTTCCATGCCGCCCCAGAGTAAGCTTTAAACACAAATAGCTGACTTGTAGGTTACTTCCTTTTTCACATTCTCCAGTGACCCCCAATCACTTCCGGGAGGGGAATGCAAATTCTTTACCATGGAAGACAAGCCCCTCTTCATATGCTATTTCCAACAGACTTTGCTGGATTCGTCACCCACCCTACAGAAGACTGGACATTCAGATCCATCTTATATTCATCATTCTCTCCATTCCTCCCTCTCTCTAGGCATTATCTCCTCTGAGATAACCACCAACCCATCCCCAAGCAAATTATCTGCCAGGCCCACTTTCAGTCATCCTCTAAGTCAACTTAAGCAACACCAATCCCTGGGAACCCTCCTTAACCAATCCTCCAGCTTAGTCCAGGTCCTTTGCTGTATGCCAGAATTCCACTTGTACACCCAACTGTCAGTTTGCAAGTCTGTTTCCATTAAAGTAGCCTCCCTGAGGCCAGTAAGTAGGTTTTGTTCATTTCTTTACCTACAGCTCCTGGCACATAACACACATTCACCATGTCTATGCTAGTTGAATCAATGTACCATATGTTTAACCTACTCCCTTTAAACAAAATGGACAGAAGGAAACTGAACCAGAATAAATGTTGCAAAAACAGCTATTCCCTGATTTCTATTACATATTCTAGGTTACTACCCCTACTATTTTTCTACATTTATTATAAACTAATTTCTCCTCTAGTTTCCTAACCTAAAATGATGATTATGGTGAGAAGGGGATTAAGAGCACACTTATCGTGATGAGCACTGAGTAATGTATAGAATTGATGAATCATTAAAAAAAAAAAAAAAAGAATTGATGAATCATTGCATTGTACACCTGAAACTAATATAACACTGTGTGTTAATTACACTTGAATAATATATATGTATATATAAAATTAAAAATAAATAATAAAATGGTAATTGTTACCAAAGAAACAAAATTTTTCTATCCATTCAAAAGTACTTTCTTTTCATGAGGAAATTATATATACTCTTTACACAAGAATATTATGACTAAGTGCCTCAACAATAAATTCTATCTGTAAATTCATTAATAGAGACTAGGTTTGTACATCATCATAAAAAATAATCAATACTTACCAGGTAACCCATACATCAAAGGTTGGGCTCAAAATTTGCCATGACACATTTATAATAAACCCTGAATGGGTTAACAGACTGAGTGTAAATGCACTAGCAAAAACAACTGAAAAACCGTATGAAGAGATATATAATCAAGTGGAAATTGTAAGAATGGATATTTGTTCGGAGGTCACTTTGCAAACGGTTCATGAAGACAGTAAGACTTGGATGAGGTACTGAAGAATGAGTAGGATGTACTCATTCACAGAGAGGAGGAGAAAAGGACAGAGAGTTCACACAGAAAAAGTGCCATGAACAAACAAACTTGAAAATAAGTCTGAGTTAACAATGTTAATACCATATATTTGTAAGTTACTGAGAGTAGATTTTAAAAGTTCTTAACCACACACACACAGAATATGTAACTCTGTGAGGTGATGGCAATGCTAACCTTATTGTGGTAATTATTTTGCAATACATACATATATCGAATCATTACAATGTACATCTTAAACTTACACAGTGCTATATATATATCAATTAAATCTCAGCAGAGCTGGGAAAAAAATAAAGTGATATAAGACTGCAAACTAAAAAAAAGAAGAAGAAGAAAGAAAAAGTTTGATATATGCTTGCAAGCTTGACTAGAGTGGAAAATTAGGGTAACTAGGAAGGGTTCATGAGGCCAGATTACATGGACCAGCTATTCAATGATGTACGTAAAGGACAAGCATTTAGCCTATGAAAGAGTAAACAGGGATAGAATAGGTCAAGAAATACAATCACTCCTACTGGTGAAATCGCAATCATCCCTACTGTGTCAGTTTAAAGGCCCGACACAGAATGAACTACAAAACACAAGTACTCAAATACTGTTCTTCAGGACATTTGCACATTTAATATGTCAACCAATGTCAAGGCAGTTTCAAAATATATCTGACAAACTTTAATCTTCCAATGCTCATTAAGTTTACAAAAAAATTATCAAAGACCTAATTAACACCACTGGACCCACTAAGAACTATTACTACTATAGAGCAGCATTCTTATTCTTCAAGCTCTACAGTATCATCTCCATGATATTAACAAACACAAACAGGAGAAATGCTGAATTACAACTATTCTCTTGCCAAGATACTACTGGGGTCACCAACTATAACACTGCTTAGCTATTGAGACAACTAATGACTTTTTTCTTTTGTTTTCTTTTCTTCTCTTTTTTATTTGTTGTGTTGTTGCTTGATTCCAGTAAAAATTTCTTCATGGAACAGTACTCATTAGCTGTCAAAAACACTTACCATTTTCTGAGATCTTTTCAACAGCTTATTCCATATCGTAAAATGTGCCTTGAAAAGAAAAGATTCACTATGAATTAAATAAAGCAATAAAGTTAAAATAAAAGGAAATGAGTCTTAAGTAGGTTTTAAGGGGCTGCCTGGGTGGCTCAGTGGGTTAAGCCTCTGCCTTCGGCTCAGGTCATGATCCCAGAGTCCTGGGATCGAGCTCCACATCGGGCTCTCTGCTCAGCAGGGAGCCTGCTTCCTCCTCTCTCTCTGCCTGCCTCTCTGCCTACTTGTGATCTCAATCTGTCAAATAAATAAATAAAATCTTTAAAAAAAAAAAAAAGTTTAAGTAGGTTTTAAATAAAACAAATACATAAGAAGTCAGGCGGTACTAACGAGCCTAAGCAGTTACAAAAGTAGATTCAAGGAGGGGAAAAGGTACTTTACAGGACAGCTGCTGTGTCTGGCATGTAAGAAAAACAGACATAGCACTGAAAATGCCACTCGTCTTCTTTTATCCTTCCTAATCATCACCATCACAGACAGCGTTCCTTCTAATGGGAAGCAAAACTCTGCCTCATTTTCCCATGGGCTGTAGTTCTTTCCCTAAATAGCCATTTTCAACAAACTAGAGGTCATTCTTCAAATCACTAGCAATCACAAGGAGAGGTTCATCAAGAACTGATGGTGACCAGTGTTGACCGACGGTGACACCTTCACACTGAAATGGCAGTTTTAGAGGATTTAGCAAATTACCTTAAAGAACAAGTAAAAACTAATGGAAACAATACAGTTATAGAACCAATTACTTAATCCTTAAAAATTGTATATAGTTGGGGATTCTCAGAATGCACAGATGAAAACTGTGTAAAATGCATTAAGGACTGCATCAATTTTATTAAGTCATTTAAAGGTGATACTGAGGGATACGCGTGGGCCAGTGACTATGTCGCACTGAATGACCTGGTAAAATCTATGATAAAAGATAAAATTACTGTATGTACATGTAAGCCCTTCTGGAGAAAACAGCAGCATCATATGTTTAAAGAGAAAACCACACCTGACTCCAGCAGAATGGACAATGGGTGCAGACCCTCCGGTGTGGCTGGAAGACAGTGGATGATGGAGAAAGTGGTATGAGAAGTCAGATAGGCAGACAAAGGCCAGATAATGTAGGGCTTTGTGAGACAACATACAGGGCTAGGATTTTTTTTTTTTTTAAGATTTTATTCATTTCAGACAGAGAAGGAGAGAACACAAGCAGGGGGAGAGGGTGAGGGAGAAGCAGGCTCCCTGCTGAGCTGGAAGCCCGATGCAGGGCTCAATCCCAGGACCTGGAGATCATGACCTGAGTGGAAGGCAGATGTTTAACCATCTGAGTCACCCAGGCGCCCCCAGGGTTGGGATTTTTATAAGAAGCCCCTGGAATGTATAGGGCAAAGGGATTACATGATCTGATTTGTATATGAAAAAGGTCATTCTGGATACTAAGTAAGGAATGTGCTTCAGGGGCCAGAGTGAAAACAAGGAAGGCATAAAGAGTAAGACGGGTTGGAAAAGGTGGTGGTAGCAAATGTGATGCTATGCGACAGTGAGACTCAGGGCCTGTTTCAGTGTTAAGAATTTAAAGGCCTTGCTGATGAATGGGATAGAGCATAGATGGGAGGGAAATGGAGAATCAAGGATTACCTCACAGCTAAGTAGATGGTGTCATTTACTGAAATGCAGAAAGCTAGCAAAGGAAACGGGTACGTGGAGAAAAATCGAACGTGTCAAGGACAAATGCTAAAAAGTACAAAATGTTGATGAATGAGATGAAGGATTTAAATGAAAGATATACTATGTTCATAGACTAGAAGATACAATTTAGTAAAGACATCAATTCTCCCCAAATTGATACACAGGTTAAATACAATTCCTATCAAAGTCCCAATAAGACTGTCAATACAGAAAGATTATCCTAAAATTAAATGAAAAGGCAAAGAACCTAAAATAATTTAAGCAATTTTTATAAATAATAACAACACAGGATGAATTATTCTACCTGATTCAAGAACTGTTTACTGCTACAGTAATCAAGACCATGATACTGGTAGAAGGACAGACACACAAATCAATGGAACAGAATAGAGAACCCAGAAATAGGACCATAGGGATATGCCCAGATGATTTTAACAAGGTGCAAAAGCAATTTAATGGAGGAAGGAGAGCCTTTTTAACAAATGATGCTGGAGCAATTTGACATGTACAGGCAAGAAAAATGAATCGCAACCTAAATCTCAGACATTATATAAAATTTAACACGAAATGGAACACAGAACTAAATATAAAACTATAAAACTGTTAGGGGGGAAAAAAGGAAGAAAATCATTGGGCTCTAGGTCCAGGCAAAGAATTCTTTGAATTAACACCAAAAACATGATCCATAAACAGAAAAACTGATAAACTAAACTTCATCAAAACTAAAAACTTCTGATCTGCCAAACTTCTAATCTTCTGTTATAAGGATGAAAAGACGTAATTACTGACAGAAAATATATGCAAACTTGTTATATATACACAATGAAAGACTAATAGCCAGAATATACTAGGAAAAAAACTCTTAAAATTCAACAGCAGTAAAAAAAAAAAAAAAACTAATTAGAACATAAACAAAAAATATAAACAGATTTTTCACCCAAAAAAATATACAGATGGTAAATAAACACATGAAAAGATGTTCAACACAATTAGCCAAGAGGAAAATGCAAATTAAAGCTACAGTATGCAATCACTACGAGCCTATCATAATGGCTAAAAACAGTGACAATGTCAAATGCTGGCAATAATCAAAAAACTGATTACTCACACATTGTTGATCGTAATAGTAAAATGGTACAGTCACTCTGGAAATCAGTTTGATAGTTTCTTAAAAAACTAAGTATATGCCTACCATATGACCCAGCAATTGCACTCATGGGCATTTATCCCAGAGAAACGAAAACACATATTCACAAAAACCTATACACAAATGTTCATAGCAGCTTTAGCCATAATAGCCAAAAAACTATAAAAAAAAAAATCCTTTAACAGGTGAATGGTTAAACAATACACAGAAGGTCTATACCACAGAATACTATACAGCTATAAAAAAGAACCAACTACACAACAACCTCAATGAATCCTCAGAGAATTATGCTGAGAGAAAAAAGCCAATCCCCAAAGATTACATAATGTTATTATTCCATTCACGATATTCCTGAAACGAAAATTTGTAGGAGGAGAGAGCAGACTAATAGTGGCCAGAGGTGAGGAGGTGGAGGTGGGGCAGAGAAGAGTGGGTATGCCTATAAGGGGCAACAGGAGAGAGCCTCGTAAAGAAATTGTACTATATCCTCATTATGTCAATGTCCATACTCTGGTTGTGAAACTGTACTACAGTTTTGCAAGACGTTATCATTGAGAAAACTAGGCAAAGGTAACTTGGAATCTCTGTATTATTTCTTATAACTACACGTGAACCTACACAGATTTTGAATTATCTCAAAATCCAAAGTTGAATTAAAAAAAAAAAAGCATTAACAAGGGAGTGGGAACAATATGGAAAATAACAGACTCTGGGTCATAAATAGAATAGGAAATTTAAGGAGAAAAGTCTGCCAAACCTAAACCCGAAAGACATTCCAGAAGGCCTTACCAATATGCACTCCAGTAATCTTCAGAGCACCCTCTTTCCCTATACTAACTCGAAAAATTAAAATTACTATCCCAGTTTGATTCAACTTTTTCAACTAGTATTTCTTTTGTGAATGATCAGTTTACATTCCAGGGAAAATTGTTTTTATCATAAACCTGAATTTACAAAGTACTATTGTCACACAACTTAATGAAAATTAAAATGTATGTCCTTCAAATTGGTATAAAATCAAGACCAGAATCACACCCACCCTCAAACTGGACGATCTGAAACTTTAAGCTTTACTTACTCTTAAGTGTACGGGTAAAGACAGACCCTGGAATCTTCGTACAAGACTCAATGGGGTGGCTTGAAGATTATGAACTGCCGACACTTCATACTGGAAACAAATACTTGTTCTTGGGATAAGAGGACCCTCACTCACATCAATGAAGTCACCAAACCTGATTTGATTTTAAAAACAAACACATTAAACCTCAAAATGAAACCATTTACAGTAGTTTAGAAAAAATCTATTTATTCTCTTTGGGACAATGTCCCCAAGTCAAAAACATTTCATGTGGGTCAATTCAGTCTCTACTGCTCCTGACACAATAATCTCAAGTGAGGAGGCTAAAACTATGAAAATTAAAGTCAAGTGAACCCTGTTCTTCATTAGCACTGATAAAATTTTACAGAGATTTTTAAGACCATTGAACGCATCATGCTATTGAGTTAATCCAATTTCTAAAACTGATCATCTATAACCTTGTAATAACTCATTGTAATAGAGTTAGGAACTCAATGTATACAACAGATTGTCCGAAGAGCAGCTTTGTAGAAAAAAATTAACTCTGAGCCAAGAAAACATGAGGCTGAGAAAAAAAGGTATAGGTCACGAAGTCACTTCTGCATACGCATTATGCATTGTCTTACCTCCCTCATCCCTGTATCAGAAAGCACATTCCTATTTTACTTACTTATATGTAATGTAAGTAGTAATTAGTCAGTATTGACATTTGTGAATACACATGAATTATGTTCAATTCGTAGCAATAAATATTTTGCCCAATTTCAAAATTAACTTTTGAAAATCACATTTTTAAACAATGGTTTTCAACTCTTGAAATGCTGAAATAAAAATAACAATAGAATGAGGAACAGAAACCAGAACTGCTCCTGAAGATAATTTAAATCATCCAGTTACCACCCTACAAAAACAATGAACAAAGCAAGAGAAAATAAGATAATGAGAATAACAAATTTGAGTACAAATGCATCTTTTGCAGTCATACACCACATTGGGTAACAACAATAAAGCTACATCTTCCTATAAATTAGCATGACAGCCAATTTATTTTTACTTACCTGTGTAGCTTAACTATTCTTTCAGGGTTCTGAGATGCCTTCTCTTCTATGAAATCCATTTTGTACCTAAAAAGTGGCAAAGAAAAAAAAATTTTACTTCTAAATATACAAAATTTTTAAGGGACCCCTCCCTTTCTCTTCCTCTTTAGCCATAGCTTTTGAAAGAGGGGTTTACACTTGGAGCCTCCCCTTCACACCTCACGTCCTTCAGTCTGGCCACAGTGTCACAACTCCACCAAACTCCATCTCTCCGAGTGCTCTTTTCCTCTGGCTTCCATGACGCTCCCTACTGCTTAATACTTTAACTCTCTGGCCAATCTTCCCCCTGTCCACTCTCCAGTGGACCTGTCCTACAGCCCCTTTTCACTAAGTATCCTCCTTGGGCTAGCTCCTTAACATGCACAGCTTTAATCGCACTTCTGTTTTCCTCCTTCCACAGTTCAGCTTTTAATCCACATCCCTCTTATGAGCCCTGAACTACATATCTAAGACCCTCCTGAACATCTATTAGACTGTTTCACAAGTACCTTACACTCTGCAATTCTCAAACAGAGCAAAAATTTACTCCTTCTTTTCCTGCCAAATGTATTCTTACTCCTGAGTTTCCTAGCTTAGTAAATGACACGGCCAACTACCCACACGTCTAAGTGAAAAAATTCAGAGATTTTCTTGATTCCTGCTTCTCCTGCCACACCCCCTCCATCTAATTCATTGCCAAGTCATGTCAATTCTACTGCCTAAATATTTCTCAAATCTACCCAATCCTGTTACTAGAGCTAATAGCAGAGATGGAACTGCACAACCCAGGATCAAATCATAATTTTACCACTATTAAGAGCCCTCTTTACCCCAGAGCTAAACGAGTATTAGGTGGGTGTATGGCAAAGTTGGGAAGCATGAGTTGATGTGAAAACATCCACTTACTGCCATACCCCTTCTGCCAAAGCCCCCCATACATTATTAAGGGAGCTAGTTCCCTTAATATTTGTCCCTCTTGACCCACCTCTAAGAGATGCACCTGTCCCCTGGGAGTCAAAGCTATGTAAGGCTCCCCCTACAGCAGAAGGCCTAATCACTGACCTACCTTAACCATCCAAAATTCTCTGTCCCCTCAAACTTGCCTCCAAACCATCCCTAAACCTCCTTCCACACATTCAACTAACTTTCCTACAAGCCCTCCTAGACTTGTAAAGTGGAGCGGAGGGAATGGGAAATCTCATGGAACGAACATCTAAAGTACACTATGGTGGCTATGGAGCACTTAATGTAATTAGCCCGAACTGAAATGTGCCTTAAGAGTAGAGTGGGGCGCCTGGTGGCTCAGTGGATTAGGCCTCTGCCTTCAGCTTGGGTCGCAATCTCGGGGTCCTGGGATCGAGCCCTCCATCGGGCTCTCTGCTCAGCGGGGAGCCTGCTTCCCCCCCTCTCTCTCTGCCTGCCTCTCTGCCTACTTGTGATCCCTCTGTCAAATAAATAAACAAAATCTTTAAAAAAAAAAAAAAAAAAGTAAACTACATGAGATTCTGAAGATCTAGCATATAAAACTGTAAAGCATCATCAATTTTGTAATATTGATCACATGCTGAATTAACATTTTAGATATATTGTTTAAATAAAATGTATTACTAAAATTAACTTCACCTTTTGACTTGTTTAATGTAGCTACTAGGAAATTTAGTTATATAGATGGCTTACATTATATCTCTATTGGACAGAACGACCCTAGAACTGTAGCACAGGAAGTGTCTTGATATGTTCTAATAATACAAGGAATTTTCTTATAGAATCAATGGTGCTTTGGGTCTACAGAACTACCTGCATTCTAGTTCAGTTAAACTAGTATGTTCCTACTGCTTTCTTAGTACACTGGTTCCAAGATATGTGAAATATTATAAACCATCCCTATGCAAACTTACATCTCATTTTATAAATACCTAAAGAAATTCCAACCCATAACCTTGAACGATTTGCAGGGATATATTCTGTCTTAAGAATCTAGTATCTATGTTATTTTTTTGCAATGAAGATTTCCCTAATTAATTCTAATTTCAATTAGATTAATATTAAAATATAGTTTATGTTGTTACAATTCGTAGAAGAAGGTAAAGTTTAAGTTTTCTGAGTGAGAAAGGGGACTGAGGACCCAGGGAAGATTTAAAATGTTGGCAAAGAAAATCCACCAGTGAATAATTCTGGTGCAGAAGACTAAGACCTGGCTATGTGAATATTTTAGTTTGGTGTTAGCTCCCTCCAGAGCACTGGCATTCTCTATCTCACCCCTGTCATTTAAAGAGTAGGAGGGTGAGAAGGAAAGGCTGCCAAATGAACAAAATGATACAGTTCCATGTATGCTATCACTTCATGATGAAAGGAAAAAGGGGAAACACACTGCAATGCTGCTATGAAGTGAAGGACTTCTCTGGTCAAAGAAACAGAGAAGTAAGACAAACAGAATTATCGAAGTGTGGGGAGGTCTTTTCTCTGTGAAATAAGTAATGAGATGAATCAAAGTAATTAGGTACAGAAAAAGAGATCTGAGAGCTAAAAATAAGTGTCCCATACACATCAGATATAGAGATTCTTAAGAGCTAAATTTTCTTCATTACTTAGAACTTCAGGAGATTGAATCTCACTTCCAAGGGAGCCAACACTTACTTGTTGTGCTGAAATATTTCTAATGCCACTTTTGCTTCCACTTCCAGAACTTCAAATGGAAGATCTTTATAAATTAAAGCGTGAGCATCTTTCGTGAAGGAACGTAGGTTCTCCTTCAAAATGAAAGTATTAACTTTTTGTAACAATTGACTTAAAAGCATTTCTCCATAAGGCAGATAAAACTGTATGCTAAATATTATAAATCCAACTAAAAGAAAAAGCAAAAGCAAGTTTGTTAGGAGTTATTAATTTATAACAATTAAGTATTCAGACCATAAATTTAACTATGAAACTTGTAATTTACTTGTAATTGAGATATTAGCCTATATTAATTATTAAAGATAATCCTACAAAGAAATCTTAATAAGCATTTCATTCAAATTATACAACCCTTACAGTTTATTAAAACATGATGCAATTAAAAATGCTAATGAAAAGATACAAAAATGTGCTTACATTTTAAGTAAAACTAAGCTTTTTTAAATGAACAGGGAAATTATTCTTTGTCATTCAGAACATTTTACCAGGAAATATAATGTCATCATTGGCCCTGCCCAAAATATAGCATACATTTAATATAAAAATTCATGTTGAATAAAAAGTCACTTTTATGCAATTAAAATGATTGATTAATACACATTAACAATATTTATGACACTTTTAATAAAAGCTGTAATTGAGTTTTCATATTATAAATCATTACTAATACAGAAAAGACCAAGCACTGTTACGCAAGTAATTTTTGTAATAAAATTCTTTCCATAAACTTCCTATTAGATTTTTTTGCATGAAATGACTCTTCTCCATTCATAAAGAGACAATTTATAACAAATCAACATTCATGATTTTATACAACTGTTACTTGAATGTAAGTCTCCACCACTTTTTCTAACTGATCCACCCAACCCCGTGGTGCCTGTAAATAGTACATTTCTTTTTTATTTAAAGTTTTACATTTAAAAAAAGGAAAAGAAGGCAGCAAGTTTCATACATAATGAGAACTCTTAATCTCATTAGTTTTTACTTAACCCCCCAACAAGTGAGAATCCTTTCTTAAATTTGAGGGCATATCTGAAAGAGAAATTATACTGACGCAAGTTCAGAGATCACAAAGAGTTCCAATCCCTTCCCTGTATTCCCCTACACGCCCCCCACCTTTCTTTCTACATCTCTCCCCTCTCCCCTCTCTCCGTTTTTCTCTTTGTTCCTTCCTGTTTCCCTCTGCTGTCCTTCTTGATATTAACCAATTTGAGCATGATTATACAAGAAATAACTTCCAAAGCCAGAATTACTAATTACTAGACATAAAAAACTCCAAAATTTTGCAATAAGAAACTACAATATTTCACTAAATCTAAAATATACCACTAAGGAAAAAACACTACCAATTATAAGATGCTATCTACTGTAAGATATATTTTTTTTTTTCAGAGATGTTAAAATGTGAAAAAAATGTACACAGTAGCATTGATAAAATGGTATGGTACATCACCTTTCCTTTCCTGATCTCCAGACTTCCATGTGTAGGACATACAGTTTTGCTTAAGAATCAAGTATTTGCCTCTTCTCCCCAGTGATAACTGAATCTAGGCTTGACAATTTAAAGTCATCAGTATACTCTCCTTACAGGGCATCTGATCTAAATCATCCTTGTTAGCCATGTGCTACCCAGTTGCCAGACCAACAAGGACTACACTCATTACACAATCAGATCATTCACCAATTGTCTAGTTTGCTGCCATCTGAGTTAGCTTTGTCAAAGCCTGATTCTTAATTCACTCTATCCTCTACCCTCTATCCCTCCTTTCAGGGTAACCTTTGTGTATGGGGAGATCTCACAGCATGCAACAGGCTAAAATCGTTTAGGGCAGTGGTTTTCAAATTGTGCTCAGGTGATTCAAGAAAGTAAGGCTCCAAGCCTCCCACCACCACATCAACCAAGATGGTTAACCTTCTCTATTTTATATTCTGGGCATCTTGAAAACGACTATCTTAAGAAACAGAATGAACAGTACCAGGAAGAAAGTACTTCAAGTAGGACACAAAGCTTCCACACAACTGACCACATTGTGAATACCCCCATTCATCTGCCTCTATCTTAAATTCACTGAAAAAGCCAACAACACAGGTAGGGAGGTAGGTAAGTAGGGTCTTTTAAATTAAATATTCTCAACACGCAGTAGCATTCAACAATTTAGGACTCATTCTAACAACAAAAGGCACAGATCCTAAAATTAATATTCCAAACACTATACTTACTTTTGTTGGCATCCACTCATCAAGTCTCTTATCCAGAACTACATCATAGCAGAAGGCTCCACAGATTACTGTAAATCCAACCAAAATGAAAGGCAAAGTCAAATCTGTTACAGTAGAGTGACTTATTGGGAACAAATGAGTATTTAGACCATAAAATGAAGGGCCAACAATCTCTCTCTGAACTCTACAAACTATAAAACTGTAACCATTATCCCAGCTCTTGCCAAAGTTCTACCAACTTTGCCCCACCCAAAAAACTAATTCACCTTTTGTTAACCCAAAATCACTAGTATGTTTTTAAACATTCATGTTTTCTTCCAGAAGAGTATCAATACAGAGATTTCAAATAGTTACTAAACATAAAAATTCCAAAAGAATAAGATATTTAATATGTAGGTGAATGACTAAATGGACATAACATGTTGAATTTTTTGTGTTCTAAACTTCCTTATTTTTGTTGTTTTGCCCTTCTTAGAATCATTCATTGAGCTTTTTAAATATTCTTGGTATATATACTTCTATATTTTTTTTTAAATTACAAATGTGATCCTACTGCACATACTGATGCAAAACCCTAGTTTCACCAAAATTACAAAGAGTGTGAACTCTTCATTCTTCCCAAAATGGTTCCTCTCCAGAGTAATAGACGTTTCTGGTGAAACAGTGCCACCTAAACATAGCTTACTCCAAAATTCTATTTATTCTCATTTCCTCTTCCTCCACACATTTGATTTAGAAATACATACTTAAAGGTGGGAAACAAACACCAAGACAATGTAACTACATGAAATTCATATTCAAAAGAAACATGCTCCTCGAATTCCATTATGTAATAACAGACTCCATTAATTAATAAGACGTTTTGTTACCCATTATAAATGGAATATATGTATGATAGTAGTATATATTATATAAAATTAGACATAAGCTAAAAAAAAAAAAAAAGAAAGCATCTCTATAAAATATCAAAAATAGGTATCAAACCACTGAAGGATTACAAAAATATGTATGTGTGTGTGTACATTACCAGGAACTTCTGGAGCTCTGACCAAACTGACCACATATTCATCTTTGAATGCCCTCTCTATCACACAGCCCATCATCATGGCACAAGAACGCCAATAAGCCTAGGAAAATAAAATACATGCAAACATAATACATACTAAGATTCACTAACATTTCTTCAGTATTCAAATTTAGGTTAACTTTTGACTTAGGAGCTCTTTGTCCATCCTCAGCATGTAGCAATAGGGAACATCAGGCCATGACATTACCTCTCCCAAGCAACAGGCACAAAAGAATGAAGCACCAACTTGTGCTGTTAGCAATGTTTCTGTGCCAGATACTATGCACTATGTTATCAAACAATACATAGTTTTACTATCTGGTAGCAAGTTTATGTTTAACCCAAGATAAAGGTAACTTGTTAACAAACTTGTGCTAAAGTTAAAAAAAAAAAATGTATTAATATAAACCTGTTTATACCATATATAATAGAGAGGAAAAACTCAACTTTTAAGAATTTATGACTCCTACGCTCTAACATCACACGGCACATCCACTCAAGTTATTTGTATTTACAGCAAAGCAACCTATTAACTGGGCTTTCATTTTACCAGCACACTTGACCCATGGACATGCTTAATGTGGGTATCCATGCAATGACCTGATCAGAGTCATAAACAGAAACACAAGTCCCACACCAGACGTGCCCATACTATGTCCCATACTGGCACCACTATAATTGGGCAACTGACCTTCATAAGCACTCCTTGCCTGAGGACTAAAAAAATGGGCTCACTTGGTTGTGTGCAGCAGAAACTGCTCCAGGATTTATTCTACAGAACCACATACCATACATTAAAAACGACAAATCCAGGCTTTGAAGGCAAGTAGTAAAATGCACCTCATCTATCCTACTTAAATGTTTTTAATGTCTGTTGAACTCCGGAGTCAGAACACCTAGATTAAAATCCAAGCGCCACAATCTCCTAAACTGGTAAGCTTGGTCAAGCTACTGAACCTCTCTTTGCTTCAGTTTACTTATCTGGAAACCGGGAATAATAGTACCCATTTTTATGGGATTTTTATGAAGAGTAAATGAGTTAATACCTATAAATCAACTAAGATAGTGCCTGATAACATAATTAATACGTGATGTGAGCTATTATCATGTCTATCATTTTCTTAAGTGTTTCATTTCAACATATACTTATTGAATACCTACTGTATATAAGTCAAGAACTAGGTCCAACAGGGGACATAATCCCTGTTTTCACAGAGCCAAGAATCCAACGCGTTCAACGGTTCATATTGCAAGTTATTAAAATATTATATCTAGAGACATTTATCCAAGTGCTGTGAAGCCCTAAACAGGGATTCGTTCTGACAAGAAGAAACTGACAACATCCCAAAGAGCAGGTAGCATTTTAATTGAACTATAAAAGAGAAATAGGATTTTAACAGGGAGGAAAGAAAATACCCAGAGTTAAAGAACATGAGCAAAAGCCAGGGGGCTAAACCATTAGCGACCAAGGCCCTTAGCATGACCAGAGCAAAGAGGAAGTGGAAAGCTGCCATGAAAGTAAGCCAGGCTGGTATCAGATCACGCACAGGGCTTGGAAAGGAAGGGGAATAACTTTCATGTCATTCCTGAAAGTTACCAGGTAGGAAAACAGTGACACAATCCTTAGTCATGTCACTTAGTGAAACTCTTACATGGCTACTCAGGAAGACTTTAGAATTAAAAATGGGGGCAGGAGGCAGAGTTAAAAAGTTACTGAAATAATCCAACAATGATCAAAGGCTGAATTCAAGCAGTATTGGGAATGTAATATAGAGAGTGATCAATAAATGTCAGTGCACCAAAGATATGAATGTAAAGACAAGTTAAATAGTTTTTCTCACATCAAAATACAAAGAAAGGATGCCAAGTTCAAGGATTTTTTGAACTGTGGAAATGCCTAATCTAACAAGCAAAACACTGGTTATCTAGTACATTACAGTTGACCTTGGCCACATTTGCACATTTAATGGTCTGTAGCAAAAGTATTTTAATTAAAAAAAAAAAAGAAGAAGAAGAAGAAGAAAACTAGGGGGGAAAAAAGAACACAGAGGCAGAAATACCTTATTCACTTCTCCTGGATCACGATCTTTGAAAGTAAGAAATTCAATTTCACAGGATTTGGTCAAAGGTTTATACATGTCCCAAGGCTGTCCGTCCACAAGAGCCAGAATGGACTTCCTGCAGTACCACTCACTTAAATCTAGGGATTTAAAACAGATTGAAGGTCTAAATCTAACAAAACCCAAAGTGAAAAGTTACATGTTTACGTGCTCCATTAAGAAATAAAACAACAGAAAAGCAAAATTCTGCAATGACTTCCTTCAGGGGAAAAAAAGTCTTACAACTTACGTCTGTAACTAATAAAAAAATATTCAACACATCCAATATATTCTTACTAACAAAACTGTCCAAACTATTTACAAAAATCATTAAGGCTAAGTCTAATTTCAAATTAATCTGTCAATTATTAAGTAGTGAAACAATTTTCCAAGAACTACACTTAAATATTAAGAAAGCGGCATCACGGATATATTTGGATATGTACCCACATAACTTAAAAGAGAAAATATCTAAATATATATCCAGAGTAAATGTGGTCTAAATGGGTTTGGGGTCTTGCTTCCAAACCACCTCTTACTTCCCTAACATGGCCTGTTCAAGTTAAATACCAGTAACAGTTTTTAATTATCAGTACGAATTCACATATAAGCCCATCATCTCTGGCCTGTTCTTTGACCAGAAGGCAAGTGCAACTCCAACCCTGGTTAGATGTTTTTCAAGTACACAGCTACTCACAGAAGGGGTCAAGCTCCTGGGTACAGGGTCTAAGTTCCATACAGAGGGGATCAGGTCTGGTTTCGTTTACTCATTTGTATATGCAGAACCTAGCGCCATGCCTGTAGCATGGTAAGGACTCGAAAGCGTACTGGGTGATGTGAGAAGGTACGCACGACGAGCCAGCATCAGTGCAGGAGTCGCTCACAGGCTTCGTCTCGACGTGTGAAACGTACAAAGCTCCTTAAGGACCTGTACTTTGTCTTAACCTCCTCTGTAATCCTAATGTCTATCACACAGCAACGGTCCAGGAAATGTTCACAAAACAAGTGAACAATGATCATAAGTACTAATTCAAGTGCCCAAGCAAAAGAAGATCCAGAGTAATATGCTAGCTTAAGCTTTTAACTAAAATTATTTATTACTTAAATGAAATCATTACTGAGTTTTCCAAAAGTTTAAACAATGCAGCTAGTCGTATATATGAACAAGCATGCTGGTGTACAGATCTATTTTGAAAGCTTTCTAAATTTCAATATTACCAGTTCTATCAAAGGTACTTTAAAAGCATTTTGATGGGGGCGCCTGGGTGGCTCAGTCGTTAAGTGCCTGCCTCCAGCTCAGGTCATGATCCCAGGGTCCTAGGATAAAGCCCCACATCGGGCTCCCTGGGCACTGGATGCCCTGCTCAGCAGGAAGCCTGCTTCTCCCTCTCCTACTCCCCTGTTCGTGTTCCCTCTCTTGCTGTGTCTCTCTCCGCTAATAAATAAGTGAAACCTTTAAAAATGTAAAATAAAAGCATTTTGATCACAAATAATCTATAAAGAGGCCCTGTACCCTTCCTGTACACACTGAATCACACAGAGGACACAGTTATCTCCTTTAAAATATGAACACAACACATAATTTGACCCTCATCACATGCACCCCATGCATATTTTCCACTGACACATTTACTCCGTAGACACATGACTGTGGAAACATAGTATGAACAAAAACGTAACACACAAGGAGGCAAGCGGTAAGCAGGTAAGACTGAAAGCCGGCCATAAAGAGCTAGAAAGGAAAAGGCGGCCCAAAAAGCTGGTCATCCGAGGCCAGGGCTGTCCCTCTACCCCAAATTTCTTTGATGAGCTCCCCATAGTAACCGCTCCCATCACCCCAGGGTGCTGTCTAAAAAGGGCAAGCACGCTAGTAACACCTCTGCCTCCTCACGCCTGAAACAGTTAACAGCACCCCAAACCCCGCCGGACTCAAGCGCGTCCGGGGACCACCGGTGCGTGACAGGGTTGGCCTTTCTAGACCCACGGTTCTCTCAAGAGCTAAAGACAGCGAACAGAGAGTAAGATGCTCGATAACGGAGAACGTCTCCAAGTTCAGGGAGCAACCACCGAGTCTCGCCTCCTCGGAACCAATTCTTCCGCAGAGTTCACATAAAACAGTCAAAACTGGATACTGGTTCGCTACTTACGCATAGCACAATTGTAAGGAGTAGAAATGTTTTTATTCATCACAAAAATTGTGCCAGGGTCGGTTTTCCCAACGTGTTTAACTTCGATCTTCTCAGTACGAGGAGTTAATGACAACTGCCTGTTCTTCTCTTTATTAAAGAGATCATTCTGCATTTCTATCAGTTCGGTCGGTGACAGGCGAGAAGCTGGCGAAGTTGCGATCGACCCTGGGTGGAAGTGACAAGACCTGTCAACAGGGAACCAATGCGTAACGCACCGGGGACACCCCACCCCGCACCACCCTCCTACTGGAAGGGGAGGCCACGCAATTTTAAACCGCCGTCTGCCAAAATGCGCTCAGAGGTCAGCCTGAACCGCTTTCCAGGGTGAATGATGAAAACGCCAACGGAAGAAATCCGCAGCCCGCCCAGACCCCCACCCTTCAACTCAGCCCTCTCCCCACCAGATCTGCACCGCCCACCGGTTTTCCGTCGTACTCCAAACTCTGCTTTACAGTAAGAGGCCAAGAGTAACCAGGAAGTAGAGTCCAAGTCAGACCAGTCACTGGGAAGGTGAGCAAAGCTGTCGCTTTGGAAGACCTTGGGGACAAGAAAGCTCCAGAGGACTGAGCTCCCTCGCCAAAACGATCAATACCAGAGAGGGAAATGCTGAACTTGTTTTCCAAACCCTAAATGAGAGCGGATGTGACCAAGCCAGTACGAGTACTCCAATGGGAAAACGAGCACATGTCACGCCGGGACGCGGGGTCCTTCCCAGACGGGCCCTGAGCTCCTCCCGCTCTCTCTGTGCCCCGAGGTCTGGACCCTCAGGTCCGGAGGCGGCGGCGGCCGCCACAGCCGGGACCTAAAGCTCCACCTCCGCCCTCAACCCCGTGGGACCTCCCAGGACCCCCCTCAGGTCCCATCTGAGCAGACAATCCTTCAAGCCTCGCTTTTCGTCCCCACCGACGCTGGAACTCACTCCAGCCAGCCCCGCCACTGGGGGCGGCCCGCCAGAGGCGCAGCCCCCGGATCCCCACGGCCATTGCCTCCTCCTCTGCGGTAAGAATCGCCTCGCGCGGGTCCTCTTCTGCACCCCCTCCCCGGAAACTCTAAGCACGCACCCTACGTTCCGTACACCAGTTTAGTTCCGATCCCCCACGCTCGGGCCGCGGGCCGCCGCTAGGGGGCGCGTTTGCGCCTCGCTGAAGATCAGTGCCGGGAGGGCGGCGTCCAAAGCTGGGGTACGTTCCAGGGGCGCGTAGGGGGCCATGTCCGCCAGCCCCCGGGGCTCCGCAGGGAAACATCCTCCCTCTTTGGAGTCGCGCAGTTTGACTGGCTCCCTCACCCGCCTGCCTCCGCGAGTTCGAGCCCAGAGAGCTGGACGAAACCCTTGCTTCCCGCAAGAGTATTTCTGGGGAGGAAAAACCGGGGAAAGACGACTTCCGTGGTCAGCCCGGCCAGTCACGCTGATGACAGCTCAACTCTCGGTTTTGCAAGGGTGAGTTCTTAGGTGGGCGGAGGGACCTGTGCCAAGCTTCTGCGTTTATTGGGCCATTGAAGGGAACTCTATGAGCCATAGAACTCTTTACAAATTAGTTTATGTAGTATTTGGAGTATAGGGAGAGCATATTAGAGGCATCCTGGTGATGCCGGCAGGTCCTCTAGGAGCCCTGAGGGGGTACCGCAGGCCCAGCCTCTTGAGAGGATCCCTGGCTGTGTGCAAGATGGAAATGAAACACGAGCCCGCAGGAGGGGAAAGCAGAGTTTATGGAAGGTCTAGAGAGGGTGCTGGTCCAGACAGGGTGTCTGGGAGACTCAGAAAGGAAAAGAGAGAGCCTCGTCTTTGCTCGGAGCCTGGGAGTTTTTACTGAGGACGGCGGTGTCCTCTTAGGCGTCCAGGAACCAGTTAGAACAGAGGTGAGGGGGGCACCTGGGTGGCTCAGTGGGTTAAGCCTCTGCCTTTGGCTCAGGTCATGATCCCAG